ACACACACACACACACACACACACACACACAGACACACACACACACACACACACACACACACACACATGCACGCACGCACACATAGGTAATCGCATATCAGCCATCCGCCATGATTTAATGCTCTGATCTTGCGCTCCGTCAGATGTTCACCGCCCGCATCCACGTGATCACATTACAGCCGCAGGTCTGACCGCGCAACTGCATCTGTCTCAGTCTATCATTTATACGCGCACTCCTTTAGAAATTACACGCACACGCGTGCGCGCACACACACGCGTGCACACAAACACGTGCGCGCGCACACACACACTCTCTCTCTTTTCTCTCACTCTCACGCGCGCTCTCTCGTTGTCTTCCTCGTATCGCGCTCTCTCTCTTTCTTCTTTTACTAGCTCTCTTTAATTTCTCTTTCTCACTTTCCCACTCGCTCTCGTTCTCTCACGCGTTTTCTATCCCTACTCTCTTTTTTCTCGCTGTTCTCTCTCGATCGCTCCCCTACCCGCTCTTATTCGTCATTTTTCCCTTTCTATCTCTCTCCTTCTCTCCATCTCCCTATGTCTCGCTTTCTCTTATTCTCCTCCTTCTCACTCACAAATAGCGTCCACTTCGCTTGCAAAATACACACAGACTGCGACTCTACTTAAGTGTGCGCGTGGTTTCACCTTTGTCTTAGAAAAATCGCCTCTATTATTTATCGAATTATTTCCATCTTGAAATACAAGCCGCACACCTTATCCGCTACAAATAAAGTGTAAAATTACCGGTGCCCCGTGCGCGTGCACCTATAATTGTCAACGTTTCTACGTTCGCACAATGAAAGGTCGCGTGTATCACATGAAAATTTGCATGATTACCTTGACTCTGCGAGCAAGGGTGTGCGGGCCATCCGCTCTTCCTTAACGAATCATATGACGGCTCTGGAAAAAATGTAGAAAGCGCATGTTTACACGAATGAAATAAGAGTCGATCTCGAACATCCGAAGTCACCTTGTAACGAATAAAATAGATAATAGATAACTTTATTTAAAAAATATGACAAAGAATCGATAGATATCATTTATTAAACACATCTCTAGTAAGTGTGAATCATAGAAGACCAGCACTGAGTCAAGCACGGGAAGTATCAATAAGAATGATGATACATAGTGTGTGTGTGTGTGTGTGTGTGTGTGTGTGTGTGTGTGTGTGTGTCTGTCTGTCTCTCTGTCTGTCTGTCTGTCTGTCTGTCTGTCTGTCTGTCTGTTTGGTTTCTTAATTGTTTCATTATTTAGATGTTTGTTTGTTTCGTTTGCTAATTGTTATGATTGTTTCTTTCTTATTATTTTTTGGGCTGTTGGTTGGTTGCGCCGTGCTTTATTCTCCGACTGTATCACAGAATCACTCACAAATATACGCGTATCGTGAAATGTAGTGTGAACTTATTAGTAATTGTGTTGTAACCCGGTGGTTAAACCGGTATATTTCTACTGTCTGATATGATATTTGATATATGATTTCATATGCGTGAAGCGTATTTGCTACAGAGGATTAAGGGGCTATATGACGGAAGGTACACGCTATTATCAATAAAAAATATAAAAACTTCCCCGGAGGATGTTACATCGCCGAATAAATAACTTTACGAGAATGTCGCGAAGTACACGTACAGTTCATGCAACTTACGCGTTCGGCCATTTCACGTAACCTTTGTGAGAACTAAACGGATGGAGATGTGCTATACGACTATCGCATGGATATTTAATATACGATGTATAATATCAATTCCGTTCCGTTTTCTCCAACGCCGCGCAAGTATATACACGCCACACGCACGCGCACACAGGATTCTGCATGTGTAGCACTCACCCACACGCTCGCTATCATGAGGTTATGCGTGTGCACGCACGTATGTTAGGTTATGTTATATTAGAAAACAATATTTAATATAATAATGCTTTTTACTTGTGCCAATTATTGTGCCCGCGTTCATTTCTTTGTCATCACAGTGAGACGCTGATAGCAACCACCTAATTGAACAATCGCTACTTCTAATATCTGCATGCGATTATTTCACAGTACTGCGAATAGGTTTTATTCCTCGCACTGCATTTCATACGGATTTCTTCCCTAAGACGAACGCTTCTCTATTCACGCGATGATTTTTCGTTGGTTATAGCGCCCCAGTGGCGATTTGTAGTCTCATATATAATACTCATAACGTGACCGTCACCGAAGATGACTTTACAGCGTTGAAGATTTCCCTAACAGTGACCCAAAAAGTAAACAGATTCTTTACAAATGCCTTATAGGCGCGAACAATGCATTTCTCGCAGCCGCGCGACTCTTTATCTCCCTCCCATATTGTACCCGGTGAAAGCGCGTCTCGGAATATATGAGTGCCAATATGGCTGTTCATATAGCCGAGGCCGCACGGCTGCCAACACGCATCCATTCATGTCTAACATCAATGGCTGCGTGTTCAAACACACACTCAGTCGAGCAGCGAGAGCACCCGTTATGATCCGTTAACCACCGGGCTTCGCTGAGTGGCCGAGAGAGTGAGAGCACACACACGCACTCACGCGCGGCACGCACGCACATCGCATATCAGCCATGCCGCCCAGCGATATTTAATGGACTTCTGATCTTTGCGGCCGCCGTCAGATGTTCACGGCCCGCATCACGCTATCACATTAAGCGCAGGTCTGACCGCGCAACTGCATCTGTTTCAGTCTGATCATTTATTACGCGCACTCTTTTAGAATACAGCCACGCCGTGCCGCGCACACAACACGCGTGCACTAACACACCTCGTGCGCGCGCACACACACACTGCTCCTCTTTCTCTCTCACTCTCACGCTGCGCTCTCTCGTTGTCTTCCTCGTCTATCGCGCTCTTACTGCTTCTCTTTACATTTCCTATCTCTTCTCACTTTCCCACTCGCTCTCGTTCTCGTCACGCAGTTTTCTATCCCCCTCTCTCTTTTTTCTCGGCTGTTTCTCTCGATCGCCTCCCTACCGCTCTTATTCGTCATCTTTCCCTTTCTATCTCCTCTCCTTACTCTCATCTCCCTATGTCTCGCTTTCTCTTATTCTCCTCCTCTCACTCACAAATAGCGTTCCACTTCGCTTGCAAAATTACACACAGACTGCGACCTCTACTTAGTGGCGCGTGGTTTCACCTTTGTTCTTAAGAAACAATCGGCACTCTATTATTTATCGAAATTATTTCCATCTTGAAATACAAGCCGCACACTTATCCGCCTACAAATAAAGTGGTTAAATTTACAGGTGCCCCCGTCGGCGTGCACCTTTAATTGTTCAACTTTTCTACGTTCGCACAACTGAGAAGGTCGCGTGTATCACATCGAAATTTGCAATGATTACCTTTGACTCTGCGAGCCAAGGATGTGCGGGCATCCGCTCTTCCTTAACGAATCATTATGACGGCTCTGAAAAAACTGCTAGAAAGCGGCATGTTTTACACGAATGAAATAAGCATCGATCTCGAACATTCCGCAAGTACCTTGTAACGGAATAAAATAGATAATAATAACTGTTAATTTATAAAAATATTTGACAAAGAATCGATAGATATCATTTATAAACACATCTCTAGTAAGTGTGTAATCATACGAAGACCAGCACTGAGTCAAAGCACCGGGGAGTATCAATGAAGAATGATGATACATAGTGTGTGTTGTGTGTGTGTGTGTGTGTGTGTGTTGTGTGTGTGGGTGTGTGTGTGTGCTGTGAATGCGTGTGTGCGTGGGTGTGGTGTGCCCGTGTGCGTGTGTGTGTGTGTTGTGTGTGTGCTGTGTGTGTGTGTGTGTGTGTGAGTGTGTGTGTATGTGTGTGGACAGAGAAGAGAGAGAGAGTGCGTGTGTGTGTGTGTGTATGTGTGTGTGCTTGTGTGGTGTGTGTGGCATGTGTGTGTGTGTGTGCTGTGTGTGTGTGTGAGGAGAGAGAGAGAGAGAGGAGTGTGTGTGTGTTGTGTGTGTGTGGTGTGTGTGTGTGTGTGTTGAGAGAGAGAGAGAGAGAGAGAGAGAGAGAGTGTGATGGTGTGTGTGTGTCGTGTGTGTGAAGAGAGAGAGAGAGAGAGAGAGAGAGAGTAGCTGTGTGTGATGTGTGTTCGGTGTGTGTGTGTGTGTGTAATGTCTGTGTGTGTGTGTGTGAAGAAGAGAAGAGTGTGTGACTGTGTGTGGTTTGTGTGTATAATCAATAACCACAGGTCAGCCAGCGCGTCTTTAACATGTATACTAGGCCTATTTAAACACCAATTCGCAGGATTACAGTCTCCATTCTGCAGGTTATGTGGGAACAAACCCACTCAAATAGCTAAACACAACTCACAGCGTTCACGCTCCGTTAAGTCGCGACCCAAAGCTCGCCCAGCTGCAACCACCAGCGAGCCAATGCGGTCTATTCGTGATACAGTTTATACTAATAACTGCCTTCACATGCCCTGATTCGCGTTTCTCACGCCGCGTAGTGTGGGTGTGTCTGCCACCACCGCCCTTTACGCTGAGTTGCCTGCTGTCTCGTACTCTCTGTGCGCGTTACACACGTGGAGTGCTCATTTCTCCCTCCCGTTCTTTATCGTGCCCTCCCTCTCCTCTGTCTCTCATCTATCATGGTACTCCTCTCACTCTGTACTACACCCCGTACAGCCAGCTCGGCTCCTCTCGGCTTCCATCTCGCCTTCCCATCTCTATCTCTTCTATGTCCTCACTCCACTCTTCACGCACGGCAGTGAGTGATTTGCTCCGGCCACGCGGGCCATGTTTTCTCGCACCAATGGCTAATGATGATTCGGATTTGACGAGACAATTGGGCGCGCTGATTGCAAACTAGTTCTTATTGGGTCGACACGCAGATGTTCGCGCGTACACAGCGGGACGGCCAGCGTCGAAGCGACAATGGCGTTTCAATCACGGCCGATGACGACGACAAATAGAATAAAACCGCTCGGTTTACTGGCGCGCGGGGGATTTACACGTATGCTGAATGTCAATCGTCGTCATGTGATCTCCGCCCTGACACAGAGAGCGAGAGAGAGATAGCGAGCGAGTTTTAGAGAGAGAGCGCACGCCAGCGGCGGAGAAGTGATAGAGATAGATCGATAAGATTGATGGAGTCGATAGTTGTCTAACAAATAAATAGATAGATCGATATGCTGCGTTAGTTGTTAGATGATACGAAAGGCGCAAATCAGATAAATGATAGACAGCAGACAGTTAGATAGATAGATGATAGAATTAGATAGATAGATCAGATAGATTAGATAGAGTTCAGATAGATATGATAGATGAAATTGAAGAAAGATAGAATAGATAGATAGATAAGATAGATAGATAGATAGATAGTCAGTAGATAGATGAGATAGATAAGATAGAATAATAGATAGATAGATAGCATAGATAGATACATAGATATAGATAGATAGATAGATAGCATAGATAGCATAGATAGATAGATAGATAGATAGATAGCATAGATAGATAGATATGATACAATAGATAAATTGATAGACAGATATACAGACATATATATATATATATGTATATAGATATATTATATAAATTATATATATATATATATATGTTATATCAGAGTAGATAATAGGGATTATTATTCCCTACTTATCTACTCCTGATGTATAATATAATATACTATTATAGTATTTAGTATATATATATAGATAGATAGAGTAGATAGATAGATAGATAGAATAGATAGATTATGATAGATAAGATAGATTAAAATAGAGAAGGCGAGAGAAGGAAGGGTAGAGAGAAAGAGCGGCAAGGCCGCCGCTTGGCGAAGAGAGAGGAGAAGAGGCATGCATGAACTTTTACAGCTCATTCTGATAATACTTCTGATGAATTGAAACACTTGTATTACTCTATCTACGTGTCTCCGTTTCTAAGACGCGGAA